GAGAACTTGGAATTTATAAAAATGTCAGCACTAGTCCATCTTAATGAATATTGTATTAATATTAAGAATACGTGACTGGGTGGGTGAGGGTCAATTGTATGAGAACGTGGTTACTTTGAAATTCAACGGAAAAAAAATTCCTAAAATTCTCAATGGTTTCGGCTTTCTCAGTATCGCGAGGCCATAGAGTCGGATAGGTATTTTTTAAACTAACATTATGAAAAAGTGAGAAAATTGGTGCTCCCCCACTCCCTCCAAAATTCTGGAGATGTGCACACCATCCACCCAAGCTATTCAGTGGTAGTTAATTGCCAGAGGATTGAGCAACATTCACAGTTAGTTTTACAATATGGCAGTTGTCATTGATATTGAAGGTTTCAAAAATGTTGGCAACGAATTTGTTGTGAAGGAATTTGCAATTTCCGCGCTAGAACTTGATGGTGAAGAAAAGTTCGTGCATGAAGCAGTTTTAGTGGATCCACCACATGAATGGGATGAATTGCTTCCCAAGTACAAAGAAGTGAATCAGTGGTTGTCACGTCACTACCATGTACTACATTGAGACACTCCTGGAGATATCAAATACGAGACATTGCGTGAATATGTGAATTATATTCTCAAAAATGTTTCACACATTTACGTCCAAGGTACAGAGAAGAAGAACTGGCTACAGCAAATTATCAAGAATGAAGTACCAATTGAGGATTTCAATGACTTTGGCAGCCCTGATATGGAGCCTCTGGAAGGTGAGGGTGTTTTCAAGTGTTTCTACCATCACAGTCTTTTTGATGGTAGTCCTACCCAGTACCATTGCCCCCTTGAAGATGTGTAACGTCTGAAAAAAGGGTTCACCAAGTACAACGTGGTGTCTCTAGAGAAATCCGTGAAGAAATATTGTGAAACTCAGCATTTGAATGCACTGACCACTCAGGAAATTGCATTCCTACCGAAGCATTTCATCAAAATCATTGCCAAGGACACCGTGGATACGGCTTGGGACAAGTTGCCTGAGATGATACGGAGGGATCCTAGTATCGCTAAGCTACGCTATTGCCGCACGCATTGGTCTTCAATATCGGCCTCATCACTCAATCCAATCCCCCCGCCAATAGCTAAATGCCCTTTGTGTCTCTATCGTCGCCGCTAATACACTCGAAGTCACAGTGTACTATTATTGAATAAAAAACACGTATGTATTACACGGATGTATTTGTGTATAATTTCAGTAAAACCGATAGTTCGCCCCCTCCTCAATCACTCCAATAAGATCAACATTTCAGCTCACATATAAACATCTTTGTGAAATCTCATCAGTTGACTCTCGAATACCATCCATATGAGATATCATTCTTCTTGAATACTCAAGTTAAAGTTTATTAAAAAATAAAATTCTTTCGAAAACTATCTTTCAAAATGTCTGATGATAATCAATTTGAGATGTGGGACGAGTATTATCCATCATTTGAGGCTGCTGCGGCAGCAGGAGACATGAGCACATCGTATCGACGCATTTTGGAAAATGTCCTCATACCTCTGGAATGGTTCATGCGTCTACCGGTGCCTACACTGATTACCCATATAAGCCAAGCTATTCTACAATTTGACAGTCTCACTGCAGTCCATCTGTCACTCGTTGGAGTTCGCACAATCCTGGTAAAAGGCAACGATTTTTTTATATTCATGCAAGGGCCTGCAGGTGAAGGAAGTGAGTGTGGAACATCTCCCGATTGCAGCTCATGTGAGGGTGGGACTTCTCCTGAATGTGAGTCACACAATGAGGATGGACGAAGTGCGGATATTGAGATGCTGGAGGAAATGGAGGCTGTGGCAATTGCTGTCCTCAGCTCATTTTTCCATAGTATATAATAAGCAATGAAAAAATCGGATGAGGATGGGGTGGAGAGAGGTAGCCAGTGAACAAACACGCGACCCCAGAGGAGGGGTTACTGCACACCTCCGCTCGGAACATAAGAGTAGTTGGACTATCAAAAATGATTCAATCATCATTCATACAAGAACAAGCACAGCATGGCATTCATCATTGATTTGCAAGGATTCCAAAAACGAGGAGAATTTATCATAAAAGACTTGAGTGCAGTGGTAGTGCAACAGTCGCCAGATATTGAAGAATCTCCCCCCATCAACATCCTCTTTCAACCACCATGTGCCTGGAGTGATCTGGAGATGCAATATATTGTAACCAACAGGTGGCTAACTCGTAATCGTCATGGAATACAATGGAGTGTTGGTGGTTGTGATTATAGTAACATTGACAAAGTTTTCCACAGTTTTCTACTGAATAGTCGGAAATTTTATGTGAAAGGTCTTGAGAAACAGCACTATGTGGAACAACTGCTTGGCGATTCCTACCATGTTGTAAATTTAGAAGATTACAATTGTCCAAAGATCAACAATTGCTTCTTCAAAGAAACTACTCATCCGGACATTCATCGACACATTAAGTCAGCGCAGGAGTTAGTTTGCTGAGCTTTGGTAAATGTACGCTGATTGAAACATTGGTTCCAGAGTACTCATCCAAAATTCGAAAATAGTGAAAAGGATTTTAATGAACTTTTGATTGAAAAATCAGACATTTTTAATTAAATTATTATCTCAAAATCGTTCTTTTGTTTCGACTCGCAAAATGTAAAAATATATTTCCACATTCAAAAAATGTTCTCATGTTCATTGTTACAAACCTTTTCACTCCTTTCATTTCCATTCAATATAGAAAAAAAATTCCCCTTTTGCAATTATTATACTTCTTATGTTGTATTCTATTATTTTTTCGATCCATGGAATAGGCATTCACTCCACTTCGAACCCACACATCCAAGCGGCTTAGTGTTTTGTTTATACGGCGCGTACGTGCTCACCATTAAACACACAAACACACAGAAAGCGTTCGAAAATCACTGAGTCTCAGGCAATTTTATTGAGAATTGAAATTGATTCGTGTCTGTTTTCTTATCATTAATTGTTATCCAATTAAATGAAGTAATCGATGTTTCATTTAAATCGGAATCATTCAGTTCAAAAGTGCACAATTAATTTCTGTTTTATTCAATGTCATGAGCATTCAATGTAAAGCCCAAAAAGAAAGATCATGGCAAATTATGAAACTTGTGTTATGTTGCATGGTATCATCTTTTGAAGACTATGGTGGAATATTCATTCCACTTCGAAAACGATTCACTGCGCATCCAAGAGGCCGAGTGTTTTGTTTATACGGCGCGTACGTGCTCACCGGTAAACACACGCGGCCACGTGAGCGGTGGACTAGTGCGCGCTTCAGTCTCAATGAGAGAGAGAGAAGTATTGAGTGTAAAATCATTCCTCAGATTTGATAAGAAAAAAATTCATGTTTCTCATTATTAGTTTCTACTACTCATGATGATTTCTAAGACGAAATTTCAAAATCATCAATTAATTTGTTGTAATTATGATTATTGAGATGGCATAGAAGAAAAAAATTCACTGGCAATAGAACGTCTGAAAATTGTAGCAACTGCAATTGTCAGCTATGAAATATTAGATATTAGACATCAGAAATGAGACATTAGATAGTAGACATCACATACTAGATATTAGATATCAGATATCATACGGTGGATATTCGCCGGGAGATATCACATGGTGGATATCCACCCCCCCCCCCCCCCCAATCGATCCAACGGTTTGACGTCGGACATTACCATCGCTGATAAAGCAGAACCAACCATTACCGACCGAGGGTCAAGAAGAATTCGACATTGCCCTCACCCTCAGCCTCACCCCACCCCGCACCGCCCTCAGATCCCACTGTCGAGAACCGGCCTTGTTTATCTACTTACCTCACCAAACTACAGAAATGCGACTGGGCATACAACGAATTTTTCCGAAAAATATGAAAATTTCTTCATATTTTTCTTCGAACGCGTAAAAATATCTCTTTAGCTCAACTAAAGAGACGATAAAGTGACGAATACTTTGAAGAAAGAAGAAATGACATCAGTCTAGTCGTTTTTGAGATATTTGAGAAAATCTTTTGAAATACAAAGCTGAATATCTCCTGAACGAGTCATCTAATCTAATCCATCTGTAATACCAAATATTGCAGTCATAAGAGGAATCTTTCCGCTAAATTTCAAGTTAATACATTGTTGTTTTTAAATTAGAGAGGGCGTGCAACGCATGTTTTCGAAAAACATGAAAAAGAAGTATCAAAGAAAACTTTGTGAGAACACATATATGTATAGTCTGACATTCAGACTGATCCATACAGAGTGTATTGAGACGATCATTTCAAGAAAACGAAAAATGTAAACGGTTGAATAGTTTCTGGGATATTTGCAAACAACTTTTCAGAAACAATCACCGATATTTCAAAAGCTACTCCACCGATCGGGCTGAAACGTAGAATAGATGAAGTCCGTATTAAGACCGGTTCCTATTTATAGATCTCTTATATACTGTAGTACATTTTATTGAATTAAATCAATCCAGTTTATGTCAACTTGGTTTATGATGACAAGTTTATAAATCGATTATGTTTTTAGTTATTCACTACAACCTCAACGTGTTTTTACATTTTAATAAATATAAATTACAATTTTTGGCAATTGACGTCAAGTGTCGTACGCGATCCCTCGTGACCTCTGTATTTGCAAAGTGACGTAGAAATTGATTTGAATAGGGATTTGAGATATTCGATTCAACAGGACCTATAAACTGAGGAAATTTAAGATTTTTGGAAATTTATTTACTTGTTTATTGGTTCTGAATAGAAGCATTGCAATCGTCCGGTCCCGACCAAAAAACTTTCCTAGGGAGGGTAATGCAAAAATGCAAATAATGCGTATTCCTCTTTTTTTTAAATCAGATAATTAGTTGTATATATATCGGTACTAAACATATGTTGGTGGAATTCTATGATTAATATGGATATTCTAAATATTGCACTGAAATTAATTAAATTGCATTTTCTATCAAGGACGATAATACTGTGACAATTATTTCAGTGATGTATTACAACCGGCAGAAAAAGACAACTTTGATTTTATGGACGAAATGTCATCCCCCCGTCTCCCAGTACGTCGTATCGGTGATGCCGTTCCAAAAGGCAGTGCGAAGAAAAAAACGGCTAGCTTCAATGGTGTCCTATCTACAATGTTACGTCATCGAAGACTGGAGCAACAGGAAATAAATTTAGGTTCTAAGAAGACCGATTCGAATACTGCAACATGATACTTTAACAGACATTATATGATGGTAACGTAACTTGTGGCTCCGTGATGAACTCCTTACAAAATTTTAATTTAACATATTAAAATATTAAAAGTATGTTTTTCACAATAACGAAGCATTTTTATTTTATTACCCATTTTTCTCATGTTCGTACCCATTTTCCACCATTTAGAGAACCATCTCGAGCGTTTCTATCTGCGCTTCTACTCTTCTTCCTAAATAAATTAAAGGCGGCTTGCTTGAGTATTCAGGAAATTATATTAGAAAATAAGTTCCTTAAATTGTACAGAAAAACGGAAATGACTACGGATACCCTAGAAAAATCAATCGCAGTGGCCATTATTGGTGTCATTGATGGTAATAGTCCATGTGGGTGAATCGTCAATTTTGTAAACATAAACTCCCAATGTTGAGAATATCATAATCAGCGATAAGAAACTATACATAGCTGGTATGCAGCCTCCAATGATCATGCTTTTGATTGGAATATGTCCAGCCGCTGAAGCAATGGCGTTTGGGGGTGTTCCAACTGGAAATCGAAATGCGTGGGAACAACACATTGTAGCTGGCAACATGAGATATAGAGGATGTTGCTCCATGACTATGCACTAGAAAAGATTAAGGTAAATTTTCGCTGAGTCATGACAATTTTTATTTTATGCAATGAATATGAAGATAAATGTAAATCTTACATTTGTAGCAAATTGAAAACATATACATAGATACATATTCAAATCCAATAGTTTTACACACGAAACGTTTTACGTAAAAATGGGAGACTGAAAAAGTGGTGTCTTAGGCAGGGCCAGGCAATGTTCAGGTGGCTGGTAGTTATTCTATTATTGGCGTCGGGAGAATCTCCAAAATCTAATATAATTAGCCAACCTTTTTTTGTGAATTTGAGCTAGTGGTGATGTTATTCTGGGCGTCACATCAGGTGAATTTTAAATACAAAATTGGAAATTGGAATTTTCAATGAAAAAAAATAGAGAATATATTTCGAAAATTGTTTGCGGCAATTATTATCTTCCTTTCAAATCGTTCAACTTCAAATGTGAAAAATAAAAAATGGCAATGGCCAACTTAGAATATATATATAGGATATTAGAATATTAGAATATATTCTTAAAAATTCCATTATCGATTTTCATATAAAAGTTTTAATGTCGCACATGAAATTTGAAAGCGAACAATTAATATTTGCAGTAAAAAAAATGGGCAAATGAATTTCCTTCATATTGCTCATGTAACTGTTACCTTCTAACCTGTAATTTTGGTGAGATTATGGAATCTGCGAATTGAAATTCGTCGACAAAAATTGGGAATTGAGGAAACGAAAAAATTAGGTGCTGTAAATAGTATAATAAAACCGCAGTAATAAATAGAACTACTCTATGATTTTTTTTTGGATAGTTTCCTAAGTAAAAATCGACAGCGAGAATAGGGTTCATCATGTTCTCAACGAGGGCATAGAAATGCTCACTCAGGAGTGAAGTTCAGCGTTATTAAGCCTTGAAATGACAACCTGGTGCCAGAGCTGGAGGTCTAGGGCCGAGCGAGTTCTTGTGAAAAAGCCTGATGTAGGCCTCAAATATTGAAAATTTTGGTTGGTTAATAGATGAATTCGTAATTTTATCTTAAAACTATTTTAGAACTATTACCAACAGTTATTTAAGTGCGATTGTTGAAAATATCGGGAAAGAAAACATTTGCTCCCGCCAAGATTCAATCCATGGCACTTATAATTTGTAGTCCTGTGCCTTACTGACCTGGCCGTCCGGGGAATTGGTTACCTTCGCCGGTTCCGTAGCATCCGCGAATGTACCGGGAGGGCGCCAGCTATTTTAAGTGGGTAAAATAGCAAACCAGAGAGCCGCCTAGTGGTTAAGGATACAATCAGGAAATACCATTCAAGCCGCCTAGTTGTTGAGGATACAATTAGGAAAGACCGAAGATGCCGGTGGAGGTGGGGGTTAGCACCTCCACAGAAATTGCCGATAATACATACGGACGAGAGCACAGAACGGTGGGTTTTGCCCGTTCTCGCGACAGGACAGACAATTAGTTTCAATAAGTTCCGCCTAGTTGTTAAGGACACAATTAGGAAAGACCGATAAGTTTCCGCCTAGTTAAGGACAAAATTAGGAAAAACCGATAAGTTAAAATTAGGTGCGTGACAAAAGATCGTCACTGTCCCTTTCCCAGGGCGCAGTGAGGACCTCTGGAAACTTCCCGCTAAATACCAAAGTGGCGAATGTAAAGTTAGAACTCGTGCTGGAGCACTGGACTCGGTCAATATGCTAGGTTATGGAGAGAGGGTCGGAGTTCTTTAGGAGGTTGGTAGGGCAGGGCGATCGATAGCAGATCAGGTCGATAGAGGTGAGAGCGATCGGTAATTAGATAGCGAGGGAAGGTCGATAGCTGTCCATAGGCGCTAGCAAGGCGGAAGCTCGAGGTATAAGTATTGGTATACCTCCTCTCATTTTCCGTTAGCTCAGCCTTATGGCTGTAAAAAAGATAGCGATAGGTACAGCGATAGGGCGGGCTATATAGCCACACTGGTCATCGGTAGCTACGGGCTGGCTAGCGCCCGGGGCCGACTGGCCCGTTAGAGCAGGCATGGGAAATCTCCAGGTAGCTTGGAGCAGAGCCATAAACTCGAATTAGAAATCGAATTACAATAAAAATCGGTTTACAACCATTTCAATAATAAGGGTTTACTACTACCATAGTGGGGGCAGTAGTGGGGGCTTCACAGGTACTAAGGTGGGGAGTGTCCCATGAAGCGCCTGGCAAAGCGGAAATTGGGAAAATGCCGGTCGCAGTTAATAAAAAATGAATGAAAAATCAAAAACTGAACAACAATTTTCTGAATAAGCTAATGTGAGAATTCCTTTTAATTCTGAATCATATTGCTTTAAAATCTGAGTTCAATTTGGAGAAATAAAATGAATAAATTTCCAACCGGTAAGAATTAATTCGATGTAGAAGAAAATATTTTTTCGCACCTATTCAATAGTCTCGTTTATCGAGAAAATTTCCGCCGAAAAATTTGACATTTTCGCAGAAAATACTTGAAAGGCTTTTCTATTAAATGGCGCAAGTAAAATTTCAATTAGTTGGCTAAGCTATTTGTTATGAATAAAATTTAAAAAAATAGGGGTCTCCCGGCCGTTGCGATAAATTGCGTTATAATTGCGTCTTCTGCCTCTTTATTGCACATATTGTATTAGAGAGAGAGGTAGATAGACTGATGACGTTTTACGGGTAGAATTTATCCTCCAGAAGGGTAAAACTTGTCGCGCATCTGATTATTTTTTAATGCACACAATGAAAAAAAAATTGAAATTTTACTCATCGACTTATTTCTCTGCTTTTCCTTTACTTGAGTCTCATTTCTCCTCTTTTCCTTTTCTTAAGCGTCACCCCCACTTCGGTTGATCTCAGCGGAGGAGAAGGGCCTTTACGACCTGGGTCATAAAGACCCATCACCCAATACAATGGGCTTTCGTCTACCCTTTGTTACGCACTAATAGAGGTCGGGAGCACGACTTGCTCTCAGAGCTGAGTTTGCCCAGTCCTGCGTTAGAGTGCCGAGACAACTCTGACGTGTGGAGTGGAGAGTGCTCGTAGAGGGTGTCCGTAGACCAACATGCACATCCACCAAAGTAAGTGAGATGAGTCAAAGAAGTTAAATTCATTATTGACCGCTCAGTTCGGATGCTAAGGATGTCAATTTAATTTAGAATAGACCTCAGAATAATAAAAATTATGGAACGGCATAAGTTGAAGATGAATTAGCTCTAATATACTTTTACCAATTAGTCAACGGAGGTTCATCTGGACTGAATTGCAAATGCAATATACGGATACACCACCTGATATACAGATACAGACCCCGTTCCAAGGAAATGTGTCAACACTGAATTAAATCTTTAAATGAGTCGACTCTGCAATTCTTGGCACTAAGCGACAATCATGCTAAGTCACTCAATAAATCAAATGATGGAGCTCCACAACTAATCACATCGTCACCTCCTTGACATGACAAATTGGGATCATTTATTGTCCAGTAGTCAAACCCCTCAATCGGTACCTTCTCAGGGTGTGAAGAGGCTTCGATTTTCCCGCCGAATCATCGACAACATTCAGAACACCTCCATTCACTGAGAACCGCTTCAATTCTTCGATCAACACCTGAGGACTCACCAGCAGCTAACTCGTCTGTTCTTGCAGAATACTTTTCATATTAACATCATAATGTCTGGTTATGTTGTTAACATGACAGTACCATTTACCCATAGGCACCACATTGTATGGTAGACATCTATGACATTGGTGCGTCAGCTCAGAACATAATCCATAATAGTTTTCCTACGAAGATCCGTTAAGTCCTAGAGTTTCACTACATTCGATTTTAGCTCGAGTTAAATGAAGAAAGGAAGAATGAATACTGTTGAATTTTGCAATAAAAATGTCGTAATATCTAAATCTAAAATCAAGTATTATTTATGACATTATAAATAGGATTTAACCTAAAAAAGTCACGAACATTGGAAAAAACGTGACAGTCTTGATTAAAAAAAATGAGGAAATATGGTGAATCAAATTCAACAGTTAACGATAAAAATCAAGGCAGGATGCCCGTGAACTTGGAAGAAAAAAGAATGAGTTGTAGAATTTTCTTCACTCAAATAATATAAAATATTGTCTATAAAATATTCTCCATATGGTGAAGTAAAAGAATAGTTTTTTTTCACGACGTTGAGTGCGTATTCCAGCGCCCTTTTTAATCAAAGCTAATGTGGTCACGGTCTTCTCATAAGACTGTGTGTTACAGATAGGTGTTTTCGCGATATATTATCTCTCTAAAATGGATGGATCGGGGGGTCGAAAATTGTGACTTGCGTATGGTTCATGTTCTCAACTATTATATAAAAAAATGTAGACCGTATTGAATGTTGTTGGTATCGGTTAAACATCCTTAATTAGAGACCAAATCGTTTCGGGACATAAAAAAATGTATAAAGATCTGCAGAACGAGTGAACTAGCAGAAGAACAATTAAAAACTCTACAAGAAGAGGTGGCAGAAATTCCACTGGAAGAAGTA